AGGAATTAGATGCCTTTGAAAAGCCTATTCATGTTCTTGTAAACAGAGGGCCATGTCCTTCATGGAGATAAATTACTGTAACTCTTTGACATCCTACATACCCAGCAAGGCATCTGATACACTAATTTTACAAAACCTAAGACTAGCCAAAAAACTCATAAGAGCTACCTTTACTTATTTGATTGTACTTTGGAAAATACAGTCAAAGGAAATACTAAATATTTCCTTTCAGTGTGCAATAATTATATTGTACAATAATGCTATTATTAAGGGGTGGCATAACTATAAGTCCAACTCCCATGAAATTAGTCCATTAAGGACTTTCAGTTTCAGGCTACCAGGCTGCAACTTGCATTTAACCCGTTGATTTCAGTGGCACTCCTCACCGGATTCAGAGCCTCAACATCACAGGTTTTCCCCACAATATTTTTGCATTAAAAATCCCACACCTGTGTCCCATTACCTGTCATAAAAATTCATAGCAGGCAATAGGGAAACTCGTTCTTATGAAAGAAAGTTTCGGTCTTGTTGACTGAGATTTCAGTGTTAAGCAATACAGCATTAAAATTTAGATTATCCAGCTTTGAAAATAGGTCTCTGGCTATTTAAAATTATTTTCTTTAATTCCTCATCACTACTTTAAAAATTAATGCAAGAAATGCAATGTAGGTCTGCATTTTTATTGTATCTTCTTTTTCACACAGGATGGGTATTAGTCACTCCTATGCTAAATTCTGCTTTTTTTGGCATGTGTATGTTTATATATACACGTTTTATAACTTTAATGACCTGATGCTACATTATGAACTGAGCTTTTTGGGATTTCTTTGTCCAATGCCTTTAGGAAAAACAACTGTAGTAGTATCATTGGAGTGGATTCAGCAACTTCCCTTTCCAGCCTTAAAAGTGTTCTTATTTATCCCCAGATATTCTCTAAGAACTCTACTGGTTTCCTAGGTAAATCAACCTCATTCAATGTTCAGCGTGGCTTCTGGAGAGGGGCCTCAATGACAAGGTCAGCTGGGGACAGGATGACATCTTGATACAGGGTGGCACAGTCACAGGAAGTACTGGTCCTTCACCTCTAAAACGGCAATTCACATCTGAACAGCAATGATTATACAAAATTAGTGCACTTATTCCCTCTTCATTTTCAGTGAACATGAAATTGGAACCCAGAACTGCTGCAGAGAGCCTTGCAACTGGCAGGCCTGGGTCATGAGGAAGCTGGTGCTTGAGAGAGCAGAAGGTCAGGATGATCAATGCAGGCAGAGCTACAACAAAGATCTCATGCAGCCTTGCCCAGTCTGTTCGATCAAGATGATGTATTAGTCCTCTCCTTTCAGAACCACAGATGTTTTCAGACCTATTGGAAAAGCTGATAGATTCCTCTGCGGTGATGGGTAACTGAGGGTTGGTATCACAAAGAACGGGAAGGAGCAACATAACACATCATGAGAGCGGTTTAAACCATCTGAAGACTATCTTTACTGATCTGTACTGGGATGTGTCTACTCTAAAATCTAAATAACCTCTGTTGGCTTTACTATAGAGATTGTAATGTTTTATCTATTTTCATCAGTGGATATATGCTTTTCTCTCCTTCAATTTGCTTTCTTACCTCTTTCCTATGAGTATTGCCCCGTGTATAGATTTCCAGAATAGAATTTTGAAAGCTAATTAGATACGGAAGGATTTGAGTGAAAATCCCATGTGGAAGCCAGATCCTTCACTAGCGATGACACAGAACCATGTGATAAATGAACTGAAGAAACTTCCATGTTTTGGTTATTTGCCTAAGATGATAACGTGCACTGCCTCAATCATCTGGAAAAGGGAGTAGCGTTGAGCAACTTCTCCTGTGCTCAGTGCTCAGCAAAATCAACATTTGCAACCAAGAGTTACTGCCAGAAATGGAGAAGTGAGCTGCAGTTTTCGGGACTGAGAGCCCTGCTTAAGCAACAAGTCAAGTCTTAAACGATTTCTGCAAGGTGGCAGCACGGGGAACACTTCTGTAGCAAAGATCTTGGGGTTACAGGCAGTGAACATAGGCATTGCTGGATGAGTTTGCAAAGAAGGCTGCAGAGCAGTGCTTTTCTCTTTTTATATCCAAGTATTTCTGTTCAGTGAGGTTGAGACAAAGAAGGTCTTGGGTCTGTAACAATGTAATGGATCTTGGGTACTGTAATATCATCTAAAGTCATTCAGTGGCAATTATTGCTAATACATAACCTGACCCCAGAAACAAGTCAGACTGCTTTTCTCACCAAAGTCAGGGAGCTAATTCAGATTTTCCATGGATGCAGATATGAAGGGATGATGTTAGGGATATTCCACTGCTGCACAGCTGAGTCTGTATCAGAATTTGGACCAATGGCTTCAGCTTGAAGCTCTCCTTGTAACTAAGGACAGCAGAATTTGATTTTTGATCAGGACATTTTAGTTGTAATATGTCAAAAAGAGCTTGGAATACTTTTCACTATCTAAGTGCAGTTGTTTAATATCTGGTTTTACTTTATTACGTGAAAGGATTCCAAGAGGCATGTTTTTGTTTTTAAACACAAATATTGCTTCAAATGAGTAAGCAAATGTTAACCTACAGTATTAGGAACCAAAATAAAAGAACTTTTGACCAGAATGAAGAAAAAGGACAAGATATTAATTCCTACTACAAATTAAACTGAAGAGGCTATATGCGTTATTCTGAATGAGATAAATTAAGAATTGCATAGTGGTATTTTAAATTCTCTCAAATTGTGGTATTCTGCAAGGTTTTCTGGCTGCGAGAAAACATTTAATGCTGATGTTCTCCTCAGGTGGAATTGGATGAGGTCCTTTGTGACAAATTCTGTTTATTTACTCTCTCATATACTCTTTAGCTTTAATGCATTGCACAGTTAGTGCAGAATCAAGAATTCAGCCCAGTCTTCCTTCAATTCTTGCTAGACTTTATGTTAATTTAATCCCTTATTTCTCCAGACACCAAACACAAAGCATGATTTCCCTGTCATTAAAGATCACCTTGCTTCCTGTTTTCGTATTCTTCTCACTGTTATTAATCTTCTCACTGAAGTCCCCTTTCTAGCCATAATGAACACTCAGAGCATTTAATTGAGAAAAATGAGAAGTTAAACATTTTCTATTTCCCTAATCAAGACCCTGTCATTATCATCACTGAAAGACAGAAAAACAGGTGAAGAATGACAGAATCACGTGAAAGGTACAAAGGACACTGCCAAAGTGATTTTTGTGATCACAGAAGCTTATAATAATACACTGAATGTTGGCGTGGCAATCTAATTGCATACTAAAGCCTGCTGTTTAAACTCTGTTACCAGTTGCATTACATGATGCTGATGCTGAATTGCATCAGCCGCAATTGAGCATCATGAACAGACATTTGGAAAAGTCTCTGATTGGTATTCTGGAATAATTCATACAACTGCATGGCAGTTTTCAATTTAATTTGATATTTTTGAAACAAAAAGCCACACTGATTCAATTCTAGAAGTAAAAGTAGCCTAGAAGAAAATAATGTTTTGCAAATGGAGAGAAGAAAACAAAAGTAGGGTACATTTTAATTCTATCACTTTTGACAGTGTCCTCTTAAAGGGAAGACTAAATTGAATTCTAAAGGCCAAATTCTCTTCTCATTCACATCACAACAGCTCCAGAGTAGTTCCACCAACTTTCATAGAATTACTTCAGATTTACATAAATATTAATGGCAACAGGAGTTGGATTTTCAAGCCTAGCTGTTTGACAATAGTAATACATTTTAAGAAGTGATATGTAAGAAAAAATAGTTTGGGGTTTTTTTTTATTCCAGTAAATTAGATCTGCAGTATCACAAGGCTGATTCCTGTTTTGGTCTCAGATAACCTACTTTCAGAAACCAGGTATGATGAGAGTAAGAGAGAAAGCTCAGAACAATCTGTTAATTAAGGATGTTCAGTAGACACACTTGGTGTCTCGCCATACCAAAGGTTTCTTCTACTGAAATCTGTATTTCACATAAATGGAGGAAAACAGGACATGGAAAACTGATCTGGAGGATAAATTAAATTTCTCCTGCAGTGACCTGACAGAAGGAAGGGGAAGAAGGAAGGCTAAAACTGGTGCAATTCAAAGAGCAAAGAGCAAAGTGACAGCCCCCAAAAAGCGTCAGAGGTCTTCCAACTGGAAGAATGGTGTTCACATCCATCCCACCCTCTGGCGAGACTCCCTAGCTATTTCTACTTGATTCACGTCGTTTCTCTACTTGTTGAAATGTTCCACACTGCTTCCCTGTTATTACTGTTGTTATTTCACCTATCCACACTTGTCTCTGCCAGTCTGTTATTCATAATTGCTAGGGCTCCAACCCCACCAGAGAATCCATTTTGCTTTGAATTAGAGCTCATTTGCCTTGGGTAGCCATTAGCCGTTTCCGACAGCTGTTTCTGCATGATGGCCAGGGAGACTTTATTGGAGGCCAGGAAGTCTTTCATGGAGATCATCTCGCCCGACAGCCGGCGTCCATCTGTGTCGCTCTCGTTGACAACATCAGTCTCGATGGAGATGTTTCTCCGGCTGCGGACATTGCCTGGCATTACCACGTTCCTCCGCGAACGAAATAATTTTCTTTGGCATCTGTGGCAGCACCTGCAGTCCAGCTTCTTTAATATCCAGTTTATGGACTGTTTGATGACAATAGAGATTACATTAAATAAGGAATAGATGCAGCACACCCCCATGAGTATGAAGACAAAATTGCCAAAGCGGTAAAGGCCTTGGCTCTCATACTTGATATTCTGGCTACTGACCAGATCACCGAAACCAATGGTGCTGAAGGCCACGAAGCAGAAGTAAAGCGAGTCAAAGTAACTCCACCCTTCAATTGGTGTGTACATTGCAGAGGCACAACAGGATATGATGAGCGATGCTACACATAAAATCAGCATGACATAGTACACGGAGGGCTTCCAGCCTGCCAGGCTGTCCACCTCAGAGCTCCCCGAGCCCCGGCGGCCGTTGTGAGGGAGGACCCCTTTCCTCCTCAGCTGTTTCTCATGGCAGGACTTCATGACATAGGCTATGACAGTGATCAAGCGCTCCAGGAACAGGTTGAAGAACAAAATAGTCCCTGCACATCCTATAAGGCCGTAAAATATCAGAAAGATTTTGCCTCCAACGGTGGCTGGCGTGGTCATGCCAAACCCTGGAAGACAAAACAGAACAGTTGAAAAAAATAAACCTGTGGTTACCATGTCAGGAGTTTTGTCTCAGAAAGAACTGGCATCAAATCTCCACGGCGCACATCAGCTCTGGGAAAAAGCGAGGACAATCTCCCAGTGTTACCTACTTCTGCTTGACCTTGTCCCAGCCATAAGGGGAATAAAGCTCATGCCAGCTTTTCCTCCAGGTTCAGAATGAAACAAAAAGCAGAAGACACACAGGAAAGAAAAGAGAGTTTAGTGAAGGTCTGAATTTTGGACTGGTTGCTAGGCTCACTCCATCCCTGTTTGGATCACTTCCAGGCTTCAGGGTCATCCTTTTCCTTCTCTCTTACATTGCTCTCCACCATGGGTCTGATCCAGGGGTGGCTCCTACCTCGCAGGCATCCATCCCCACCAAATCTTTGTAACCCAAGGTGAAATCTTTCTGAGGCTCACTTAGCTCCTGATCCATCAGCCCTCTTTTAGATCGGCCTTGCTGAGGTTTTCCTATTTCTCTATGTCTGACTCCACAGCTCAGATCTGTGGGTGTCTTAGTGGAAGTCTCCTCTGGTCTTACTCCCTGTCATGGGATATCTCAGGCTGTGCTTCAGCCTTCTCTCAAATCGCTCCCTTCCTAAAGCCTGCAAATAGCAATTTTGTTTTGGTTACAACTATTGATAAGACAATATTGCTTTAGTAAGACATTACTAAAGAATAAAAAGCATGTCCAGAACATCACTGAGCAAATTCATGTAATACTCATGATAGGTAACTAACATAACTAAGATACCAACATTTCCAAAGAAGCACTAACATGGAAAACCCAAAAGCAGCATAAATATAGGAACTAAACAAGTGTTTTCCTCCAAAGATAATTTGTCAAAAACGAGCTATAAGCTTTTAGTTCCAGAAATAATTTCAATTCTTGAAATGCCTTTTATTGCCATGGAATGGGCCACGCTATGCCTGGTTGACTTTGACCATCACAGTACTGCACTCAGGATCAATTTGGGATGCTACAGAGCAGGACTTGTTTGACAGGAAGTACATTTTTCTCCAAATGGACTCCTGGAGTGTTTGAAATATCCATAAATCCAAGAAAATGTGGTGAATTGTTTCAGCCAAGAAATGCAAGAGGGCACAACTGTAGGAGGCTGAAACAGTTGTAATAAAAATAAATTTTATCTTCCGGCATTTTTTCTGATAAAACTTTTCATTTCACAATATCAATCACCTTCTGGTTTAAAAAAATTCAGTTGGAAGTAAAAAGAATGGAAAAAAAATTTGAAAAATCTTGTCATTTTTAAAAAGTCTCTGTCCCGGTTTCAGCTAAATAGAACTAATTTTTTCTATTTAGTTATTTTACTTTTCAGCTCAGTCTCTTTTAAGTGGCTGAACTTGCTGAAAACTGGCAGCATGTTTTTCCCAAACAGCGATGCTAGAAGATATGCTCAAGGTCAGTTGTCTCACCATGGGTGCTGTGTCTGTGCCTATGGGGGTGAAGCGGACCCAAAACGGACCAGCGAGGTATTCCACTCGACGTACATCATACTCGGTATAAAAGCCAAGGGATCACGAGGGTCTGGATTCACTTTCTTCCATCTTGGAGCCCGTCCATCTCAGACCCTTCCGTCCATCTCGATCCTGCAGAGGCCAAGGCCTGAGCAGAACCCTGCTAGTTCATCTGCTGCTGATCCTGATTCGTGCGTTCTGCATCCTGCTTCCAATGCTGCTGAGTTTGGTCTGGGACTTTTCCAGTGCCTGGCTCTGCAGACCCTCTGGTGATGTATTCGTCATTGGGGGAGGATTTTATATTGGTTTTGTAGATATATATTTGTTCATGTCTGTATACATTCCATTATTTTCCTATTTACATTCTTATCCTGTAGTATCAGTATTATTGTTTCATTAAACCTGAAAGTTTATTTTCCAACCCATAAAGTCTCTCTCCCTTCTTCTCTTTTCTCTTCCCTTCTGGGGAGGAGAGAGGAGTTAACAGAGACCGTCTGGCCAGGGTTTAGTGGCCAGCCCAGCCCTAAACCACGACAGTCTCATTATCTTAAAATTGAACACAACATTTCACTAATGATCATATCAAACCTACCAAAAATTTCATTATTTTTTATTCTTCTGAAAGACCTAAATCAAATTTGTTCCTATACAACTTCAGGTTATGTTTTTCTCCTATATTTTTCCTGTTGGCCATCACACTAGAAATGCACTGTTCATTGATGTCTACTAAAAAGTGAATTCTTTCAAAAAACCTTTTTCATACAACAGTCCTGCAAACACTTGCTGGAAGTAAATTGTAATCCTTGGTGGTATCAATATAAGATCAGGTTTATTCACAAACTGAACCCACATCTTTCATGGCTGCGAAGTCATGTTGATCAGGAAATGTACCTCTTGGTATTGCCATTGCCAAATCGACCCTCCACAGACGTGCTACAGCTGTGCAATGGAGCCTTCCTGGGTGCTTGGTTTTCTTACAGCAAAAATGATGGGTTTAGGAGCGACTGCCGTACTTTGCTTTCCCCCACTGCAGGAGGCGGTCACCCACACACACCCATGGGGCGTCAGCTACCTTGGGATCAGAGGCTTCAGGTGAGCAGGACCAAGCTGCAAGGACACAATAACCACACAGAGTCAGACCGCTGTCTTTGGCAGTGGAAGGATAAAAGAAAGTGTGAATAGGGAAGAAAATATAAACAGCATGATCTCTCCCTGGGATATCCTCCCAGCTTGCAGAAATCAGCAGTTTAGAGGCTTTGAGGACATCACTTTCAATAATTTGATCATCAATCTCATTTTTCAAATCATTCATACAGTTGGTCTCCACTAAACTCGAGGCAGTGAGTTCCCCAATATAATTATGCTTTGCAGAAGAGACGTCTTTGTGTTCCCTGCTGCCTGACAATTCATTTCAGGCTTCCCACGTTTTGCAGCAAGCTGCAGCAATCATTGTTCTCCATGCACATCCTCCCTCTCTTTTTACAGACTCCTATTATTTCCTTCTTTCCCATTTCTCCCCCGATCTGAGGAGGTCCGTAACATTTATTCTCTAGTTTTCAGCCTGCTAAGACATAATTCTAACCAGTTCTATTACCTTGTTTCTTTTCTACATTAATAGAGTCTTTCAAAGATAAAGGAGCAGGACTAGAACTATATGCGGTATTTGCAATGCAAAAGTACTTTGAATTGATGCAGGGCATACCAATGTGCTGTGCTTTGCTCTCTTTTTCATAGGAATTTGCCTTTTTAATTGGGATTGACCACTGAACTGATATTTTCAGCAACCTATCCACAGCAGGTCTGAGCTCCCGTGTTCAACAAGTGATGGCTGCCTTGGAGCTCTTCAATGTCTGGCTGTAATTACATCAATCTTCTCCCGGGTGCATTACTTTGCATTTGTCACCGCTGAATTTCATCAATTTTTTCACTTAGTTATTCAGTAATATGAGATTCTTCTGCAGTTCATTACAGTTGAATACTCCTCTCCCCTAAGTAAATGTTATCTATTTCTTTACCTCTTTTCTTACATTGTTTCTGACTGCTGAAATGTGCAGGTGTCAGCAAAGAGCCTCAGAAAATCTATTGTTAATAAGCTTCCATTTTGAAAACTTAATATTGATACCTAAACTTTTCTTCTATTCTTTTTAAACAGTTATTTATCAATATTAGGACTCCACTTTTCATCCCATTAAGGGTTTTATTTCTTTAGAGACTTTGGTAAGGACATCTGTGAAACAGCTTTTTGAATCCCCAGGCACGCTGTTACTTTTGTGCAAGATGACTTTCCTCTGCAGAAGCTGCATCACCTTTTTGAACATTGTGATATTCCTATTTACACTTTCCTAATACATCTCTGGGGAAGACAGACTTACTGGCCCACGCTTCCAGGAACATTGTTGCTGCCTTTTCTACAAACTGTTCTTGCATTTGCTATCATTTCTTCTCCGTGCACGAGAACCAATTTTAGGCTATAAACCACACTTAGTTAAGCAGCACTTTCATGTTTGAGTTCTTTTATGAGTCTTGCATGAAAAACTTCAGTCCTACCAGCTTGAAAGAGATCACCCAAATAGGAGAAGCAGAGGAGAAACCAAGAGTCAAATATTAGGAGGGAAATGACTCAGTGAGCAATCGGGGCCTGAACCACACAGCGTAGCGGTGCAGGGCAGGAAGCTGAACTGGCAGATGGGGAAGAAAATGCAGAATGAAATGGTGAAATCGTATAAAAGAGGAAATCAAAGCAGCAGCTGACACGTGGAGATCATTTGAAAATACAAGATTGCCTCTTTTTGATGAAGAAATAGAACAGGAAACAACTGCAGGGGGGAATTGCTAGTGATTTTTTGTGATAGGAGAGAATGCTGATGAAACTTAGTGAACTTTATTTTACAAGCTGGGTCAGACTTCTTGAAAAAGAGTTATTTCAAGTAGAAATCAAGATTACAGTTAAGTGGGACTCGGATAATTTTGAGTTTGGAAAATTGAATGTTTTTAAGGTACTGAAAAACGTTTTAATTGATGTTTAAGTGTGTCCGTGGATACAGCACTATATTGCCACCATTAGACATGCATGACAAACCCCAACTTCAGCAGCCCAGCAATGAAGAAGACCTCTTAGTAAAAATTTTGCGTTTCTGTTCTGAAATCAGTACGACACTGATTTGCTGTGTCCCACGACCCATTGATTCCTACAACCTGGCATTATCTTTCCTAATACTCACAGCTGGACTGAGCAACTATATCCCTCGTAGTTTCAATTTCCCTTTAGGTATTATGGGCTTTTTTCCACATGCTGCTTAAGCAAGGATTCAGATTTGTCTGCTGAATATTTATACTAATTCTGAGTTTCTCTGTAGCAGAGCTAAATTTTCAGGAGCTGGAAGGAATTTAAACTCCAAACGGAGTCAGTAAAAGTTTTCTAAAGCACTGCAGACTTCCTGTGCAAAAAAATCCTGTTGTGGCAGCAAACTTCTACCTTGCAGATTGCTATTTCCGAGTGCTCTAAAATCCATCTGTATGTTCAGGTTATATTGCATGCA